CCACACCCCCCCCCCCACCCCCCCCCCAAATGTCTTCACTGTAAAATTATCATGGACTTTCAAATCAGATTTCAGGTGCAAAAGTCGAAGTGTATGATCCTCGTCTTGGTGAAAATGAAGGGAAGCTTGTTATATCTGGAACACCTGATCAAACCCTTGCAGCGCAAAGTTTACTTCAAGCCTTTATCCAAACTGCAAATAAATCATAACATCACAACGCCGACGACCCAAACAGATGAACTTTTTGGCAACGTGTTCCTTCTCTGTCTGATTTTTGCTATGGAGGTACTCAGTAGACAATATCTTCTTGTATAGATAGATAATTCTAGGTTGAAGGCTAGCAGCGAAGCAGCATCCATACTTGGATTGTAAAGGTCAGAAGCTCTATTACATCACTTTTGAACAATGCATGTCAAGTGCATTTGTGATTGTTTCGCTTTTGCTAACCACATAGAGTTGCTCATTTTGGATCCAAATCGCTTGCATGCTTTACTATGAAGACGTGATAAGAACACTATAATAGACTAGAAAGACTACAAACTCGTGAACTGAAGGACATATTAATTGATATTGCTTGTACTAATGACACAAAAAAAAGTTGAAACGCCAAATGGTTTGTTTTTACACCTCAGCATACATCGCTTTATATATACGTTCTCAAAAAACGACGTTCCTAGCAAGGTTGATTCAAAAGCGGCATGTTGTCCAACTTAAGTTTAAACTGTTATCATCTTATAACAAGAACAACAACAACCGCAAATATAAAGTCCCTCAAATACTTTTTTTTTTTTTTTTTTTTTTTTTTACACAACATGCTCTTTGAATTTCAATTTGAAATTTTATGTATTTGTTAGCTAAAACAGTACTTGTGCAAAACTTCATCTAGCAGCAAAAGTATATTTATGATCTTGTTATTCGGATCAAATTAGTACTTTAATGGAGAGTGTGATAAGAATACCTTGTTCTACACCAAGAACCCTTAAAAAAAACAAAAAATAAAATGGGGACATCAATGTGGTACCGACTGAGTGTACTTCGATGCTTAAGCCAACTAATAGTGAGTGAATTTGGCACAGTTTCGGCATTGCAAAAACAGTGTGTACCTTGGCCTCTCAAATAAGAGCACTTTACTGTTCAGGGAGCAATGTAATGGTGACTCCAATGTTCAGAGACAAAATGGCGGGTAATCGCTAGTCACTTGACTTAGAAGGTTCTACCGAGGAGTTACTTCTAGACCAAAAGTGTACCCGCAGTAACTTGAGGAGGCACCCCTCCATTCACGTTTTGTTCTCATATGCATCGGCTCATTCTAAATCGATATATCCAGGCTCCTCCAACCCAAATAGGTGCTCTTTCTTTCAAAGTGGCTGTGCGCAAAGTCGAATCAAAGGCTTTACAAGGGAGCTCTGCAAACCTAAAGTTTTGGGGGCATGAGTGTGAATAATTCAAAATTCAATTATGATTTTATCTTTGCAAAATTCTCATGTGAGTGCACGTGCTACTCTTCTTTTTAATTTTGACGGGAAATGAAACAGAGGGACAAAGTGAGAGAAATTCAAAATTAAAGTGGTTCAATGAGAACTTTTGAACTTCATAAGGTAAAGTGGGGTGGCCCAAAATGCAAGGGGAATAAATGTTAATAACCCTAGAAAGAATGATGAAACGTCCCACTTGAGCAAGTGAGGTCTATTTTCTATAATTTTTCATAAATAAATTGCACAAAGGACTAAGCCCTCAAAAAAATTCTTATAGAAAGTCAAGTACCTTGAGAAGTTCAGATTAAAAAAAAAAAAAAAAAACAGCAACAACAACAACTTGAGAAATACACAGAACCTGGTCTTGCTCAAGTGGGAAATTTCTTCATTTGTTTGTTGAGAAGTTGCAGATAAAAACAAAAGACTTGAGAAAGATTTTTAAAACTTATGTTAGTAAATAACTAATTTACTAATATATATAAATTAATAAGAAAATTGTAATAAATAGTAGATTTTTAAAACTAAATTAAGTAAATAGCAGATTTTAAAATTTTTTAAAATAAATAATAATTTATGTGGTAAATGAATCATTTACTATGTAAATGATTCATTCACACTTGAAAAAAAGTAACATACGTGGTAAACAATCATTATTTACATATAAACTGTTCCTTTTACAAGTCGTAAAAGGAAAATTTACCTAAAAAAAATGTTTTTACTAGCCGTAAATGAACTGTTTATGCGGTAAATAATTAATTTATCACATAAACTATTATTTATTTCATATAGTTTTAAAATATGCTGTTTACTTAATTTAGTTTAAAAAATCTTCTGTTTACTACATTCCTTTTTATGTTTTGAATTTTTCATTTTCCTATTTTACCCTTTATCTTTATATTTTTTCTTTTTTTTTCTCTTTTCCTCTCGAACTCATTCTCTTTATTTATCGTTCGTGGGTCTACTCTTATAACTCTCTCATTGTCAGCTGTTCTTTTTTCCAATCACCTTCGTTGGAGCTTGCGAATTATAAATTTAAAGGTTTAAACAATATAAGAATGATTATTATCATTATTTTTTTAAGATATGCAATGTGACAAAATCTATAACTAGATTATATTAACTTTATTAATATAAGATAAACATATTTTAGTTGTGTTCGTAAATTTAGGATTGACCCATCAGAATACATATTGTGTTTCTTTGTAAATCCATGATTTATCAAATAGAAAACAATTTTTGTTCCTTCATAAATCATAGATTTATACAATAAATCAAAGATTTATCATTAAAACATAGATTGTGTTTATTCTTGATTCTTGGATTTATAGTGCAAAACCAGGATTTACCGAAAACACACTATATGTTATGTTGGTGAATTATCAATTTACAATGTATGTACTTATCTAACAATTATTAGTTCTTTAAATATTGACTGATCTACAATTAGTAAAGCTAAATGACAAAGAAAAAAATAAAGAATATATGTCTTTCTTTTTGAAGAAAGAAGAAGGAAAAATAAGAAAGAAGCAAAAGGAAAAGAAGGTGAAAGAAAAGGAAGAGAGAGAGAGAGTAGGGTTTCTATTACGATTTTCTACCATTGAATAGAAATATATGGCCACGACAGAAAAATCATAGCAAGATACTAACCACTATGAGATTCGCCTGACAATATGAGATTTCTGAACGTGATGTGAGAAAGAGATAGAGAAAGAATAAGGAGAGAGAGAGAGCTAGAGCCAGAGCCGAATAGAGAGAAGAGAGACAAAGTAAATTTTGGGTTTTATTTATTTTTTAATCAAGGTTTTTCTTTGGAATATTAATTTAGTTTAAATCCGAATTTACACTTATTAGACCTTACTAACTAATTATAAACGTTGAGCTATTTATTTTTATAGCCCTTTTAATCTGGCATATTTATCTCAATCTCCCTTTATTTATCCACTTCATTAGGTTGTCTTAAAAAAAAAAAAAAAAAAAAAAGACCGATTACGAAAAAATTTTGTTTTGAAGGGTTATCTTTAGCTTTTCTAAAGAAGTGATTATGTGTTCCTAAAGGGCTCATAAAAAAGGCTTTTCATTTTTTCTTATTTAAGAATATTAGTTGAAACTGGGCACGAGAATCTATAAATAAAAATGAGAAATATATTTATTTGGGTGTCATTGGAGAAATAATATAAAAATAATGTATAATAAGATAAAAAAGATCGCTTAGTTTTATTAGGAGAAGATGATTTAATTTAAGTAGGGATATGTATGAGAAAAAATTATTCTAATGATGAATTACAGAGAAAAGTATCTTTTTGAGGGTCAATTTGGAAGACAAGAAGAAGAAGAAGAATGTATAATAGGGTAGAGGAGACAAGAACGGAAAAAAGAGGACTAAAAAAAAGAAGAGAGGAAAAAAGTGGAAAGTAAACAAAATAAAAACAGGTGGAATGTACACAAAAAATAAAAATAAAAATAAAAAAATAAAGAAAAAGGAAAACTGGAGCACTAACGAAACGGCACCAACCAAGCCGTTTCCGTTATTGCCCAAAACTCATCCTTAGATATTGTAGTAAAGATAGATAAGCATTTCATTGTTGAAGCATGCCGCACGTAAAATCGAGAGGCCACTAGAACTGAAAAAAGAAAGACAGACTACAAAAGAGGTCACTCAGATAAAAATGATTGTTGGCTTGGCCAAGCTCTTGAATTTCTTTGTAAGCGTTAACATCACTGTCGTACATACTACGACCCTGCCTTACTACCGTAGATTCGTGGTGGGCATTTCTCAGAGCTCCATTGAAGCCTCACAAAACGACATATGCCTTGCAGAAGTCTCACGGGTTTATTCTTCTTTGATTCTGCGATGCATAGAGAAGAAGTCTTTAGCAGAGTCCAGACTTGTCCATGCACGTATTATAAAGGTCGGAATCTTAAATGTCAAGGTAGGAAATAAGCTTAACTATGCGTACATGAAGTGTGGTAGCATTGTGGATGCTCGTAAACTGTTTGACGAATTGCCTAAAAGGCATATAATAAGCTGGAATTCAATGATTTCCTTTCACGTTGGTCGAAGAAAGTGTAAGGACGCTATTTTGTTGTGCACACGGATGGTTTCGGAGGGAGTTATGCCCGATGAATACACGCTTTCGAGTGTTTTCAAGGCGTTTTCTGAACTTGGTCTTGTACATGGTGGAATGGGAGCTCACGGGATGGCGGTTGTTTTAGGTTTGGAGGTCTCAGATGCGTTTGTTGGTTCTGCCCTTGTTGATATGTATGCAAAGTTTGGTATAATGAAGAACGCTCAACTGGTCGCAGACCGAGTTATGAGCAAAGATGTGGTTTTGTTTACAGCTTTGATTGTTGGTTACACTCAACACGGTGATGGGATTGAAGCTCTAAAGGTTTTTGTGAACATGATCAACCGTGGAATTAAAGCTAATGAGTATACTTTTGCAAGCATATTGATCACATGTGGAAATTTAGAGGACTTAAGAGTAGGTAAGTTGACCCATGGTCTTCTTATCAAATCTGGTCTTGAATCAGTTGTGACGTCTCAAACATCACTCCTTACTATGTATGCTAGATGCAGCTTGGTTGATGATTCTTTGAAGGTATTCAAGGACATTTCGCACCCGAATCAGGTGACCTGGACCTCTTTGATTGCGGGTCTTGTCCAAAATGGTAGAGAAGAGGTAGCTTTATCCAAGTTCAAAGAGATGATCCGTAGTTCAATACTTCCAAATTCTTTCACGCTATCCAGTGTCCTTCAGGCATGTTCAAGACTTGCAATGCTCGAGGGAGGAAAACAAATCCATGCTATGGTCATGAAATTCGAATTAAACAAAGATAGATATGCTGGCGCTGCTCTTGTTGATTTGTATGGGAAATGTGGAGGTACAGAAATGGCAAGGTCTGTTTTTGATTCTTTAGTTGAATTTGATGTGGTGTCTATGAATTCCATGATTTATGTTTATGCCCAAAATGGTTCGGGACATGAAGCAATTAAACTATTCAATGAAATGAAAGAATTGGGTGTTGAACCAAATGAAGTAACAGTTTTGAGTGTCCTCTTAGCATGCAACAATGCGGGATTGGTTGAAGAAGGCTGCCATATGTTTGCCTCCTTTAGAAACAATCCAAAATATGAATTGACCAGAGATCACTATGCTTGCATGGTTAATTTGTTAGGGCGTTGTGGAAGACTTGAAGAGGCTGAAGTGTTGATAAGGGAAGTCAGAGAACCAGATGTGGTCTTATGGAGGACACTTCTAAGTGCATGTAGGATTCACGGTGAAGTGGAGATGGCAGAGAGAGCTCTAAGTAGAGTGCGTGATCTCGCTCCAGACGATGATGCAACTCATGTATTGATGTCAAATCTTTATGCTTCAATTGGTAATTGGAATCAAGTTATTGAGATGAAAAGCACAATGAGGGAAATAAAATTGAAGAAGATTCCAGCAATGAGTTGGGTTGAGATTGATAAGGAGGTTCACACTTTCATGGCTGGAGATTGGTCCCACCCAAGATCTAATGAGATACTTGAAACACTAGAATATTTGTTTGAGAAGGTTACTAGTCTGGGTTATGTTCCTGATACAAGATTTGTGTTGCAAAACTTGGACGAGGAGAGCAAAAGAAGGTCTTTATATTATCATAGTGAGAAGTTAGCCACAGCCTTTGCTCTATGGACCACAAGAAACAGAGGCACAAGTATCAGAATTTTTAAGAACCTTAGAGTTTGTGGGGATTGCCATTCATGGATAAAATTAGTCTCTAATGTTGTTGGAAGAGAAATAATTGCTCGAGATGCTAAAAGATTTCATCATTTTAAAGAGGGCTCATGTTCCTGTGGAGATTATTGGTAAACCTGATTTGTAATGCATATCAACAAGGCACAGCGGCGCTCCCCATGGCGAATTTTATTCTCAAATTTCTGGGCACTTGCTAATCTTAATGGCAGATTAAGTCACCAAACACTCTGTTCGTTATAATACATTGCTGTATGAATTGCAAGCTGATGGGAAGAGATGCATCTTGACACATTCTATCTGTCTGAAGGCTGTTTTGTTAAGCAGATAATGATATCATTTGGGAGGCAAGTAACATTGGATAGTATTTCTATATGATCTATGAGGGCTGATAATCTTTGAGCAGTTATTTGTGTGACTCGTATACTCTTGACCATGTTTTTATGGATCTTGAACTGAAACAGGAGAAAATATACTCTCATTGTTGTCAAATTCCAAATTTGTATGTACAACTACTTGCATATATGCACAAAGACCTTGATTATGCCTTGATCAAGCAGTATATTGCTTTGGAATATTTGTAAAATCTCAGATTTAAAACTTTTGAAAGTCCTTTGCGAATATGTGGACTTGTATCGAGAGATCCTGCTCTCGACAAAATATGAAAAAGGTGAAATAAGTTTCCGGACTTGTAAAATTAAGATAACGTTGCTCATGGCTCGATCTATGGAAAGAGCCACCTAAATGCCTGATGAATCCATCGATCTTTAATTTACAGAGGAGTTATCTAAAACTGGATCACAAGCTTCTCAGCTTTGGAGAGAGATAATTCCTTGAAAAAGAGTTCTGTTCAGCCAGATTTGAGTCAACTGCTAATTGATTGTATATCTGCTTAATAGAATGCGAATAATATTGTATGATCTACCATTTATATATTTCTTTTGATGTTACATTTATTCAAATAAACAGATGAACAGAATGAGAAGAACACGAGTTTCTGGTCTGCAAAACTGCTAACCATTTCTCGGTTTATTCTGTTCTCTATAAACAAATTACTAATGTACATACAAAACAATTATCCTCCATTATTTTTTATATTTTTTTCCTCTGTTTATATCTCGAAGCTGTGTTGTGCTATTTTTTTTTTTTTTTTTTAATGTCAAATACTGAGATATGAGTTTATGAAGTCTTGAATCCTAGAGTGTACAAGCATCTAAAGTTAGCTTCTCTAAGTTGGATTATGAGAACGTCTTTCTCTCACCGGAAAGCTAAAAATTGTAGATGCTGTTACAGCTCAGGAGCCAAGAAATTCCATTTGTGTGCTCACATGAAAGAAAGTGCTTCCTTGGGCTTTCCCAATAGAGATAAGACTGTTGCAGAGATATGCTTTGAGGAGAGCCCGGCTTCTTCAATCTGATCTTGGGGTGCTCCATGGTCAATGTATCTATCAGGAAGAACCATTGATCTCAACTGCAAAGAAAGATCAAGAACAGTTAAGAGGCAAACAAAAGGAAAAGACAAGAGTAAGGTAACCAAAAAATATTCTCCCACTGCGATAAGGTTAAGATTTCTCTTTTTAAAGAATACCTTGAGGGGCCCATCCAGAAGTCCACTTAAGCTTAGGAAGTGTGACACATGAGACCCAAATCCTCCAATTGCTCCCTCTTCCACAGTAATAAGGATCTCATGCTCCTTGACTAATTGCCTGATGAGATCTGCATCCAAAGGTTTGCAAAATCTCGCATCGGCTACTGTTATTGCAATGTCCCTTGTTTTCAGCAAATTTGCAGCTTCCATACATTGTTGAACTATTGCGCCATAGCCCAAAATAGCAACTCCGCTTCCTTCCGTTAGTATTCTGCCCTTTCCAATCTATCCAAGAATATAACAGAAAGATCAAACCTATCTGTCTGGTTTATCTGAAAATTCTCCTAAAAGTCTTGGAAATGATTTAATGCTAACCTCAAGTACAGTCCCTTTGTTATTAGGTGGAAGAACTGCTCCGATGCCGTTACCCCTTGGAAACCGGAAGCAGCTGGGTCTGTCATCTATGGCTGCTGCTGTGGCCACCATGTGCATGAGTTCAGCCTCATCAGATGGAGCCATGACAATCATGTTGGGCAAGCAGGCCATGTAGGTGACATCGAATGCTCCGCAGTGTGTGGGCCCATCTGCACCAACTAAACCAGCCCGATCCAAAGCAAAGCGGACAGGTAGCTTTTGAAGATCGACATCATGTGCCACCTGAATATTACCCAGTTCTTTTATCAATTAAAAAGCTTAACAAACCATACTTGGAAAGGCGAGTACAAAGGCAATCTACACAACCTGTTATAACAATTATTACCTGTTACATAAAGGATTCATACTGTTTTATATGACAATTTTTTATTCACAACAACAACAACAAATACAAGCCTTAATTTTAAATTAATTAGGGTCGGTTATATGCAAAAAAAAAAAAAAAAAAAAGAGACAGGGAGATCCTCATCCCTGATGTATTTAAGAATTCCGTTTCTTATTTACCGACCTGGTCATATCCTCTTTGCAGGAATGATGAGTAGATGGCACAGAATGGTTTGAGACCCTCTGCAGCTAATCCAGCTGCAAAGGTGACAGCGTGCTGCTCAGCAATTCCTACATCAAAGCAGCGCTCTGGAAATCTCTTTTGGAAATAGTTGAGACCGGTTCCACCACCCATTGCCGCATGGATGCCCACGATCCTTTCATCTACTTCAGCTTCTTTTATTAGGGCCTCGGCAAAGTACTGAGTATATGAAAGGGTGGCGGCTTTAGGCTTAAATTGCTTGCCCGTTCTTGGCTCAAACTTGACAACCCCTGGATATAGAACAATGCTAAGAACTCAAAAAAATTGTATTGGATTAATGAAGAAAGAAAGAAAGAAAAAATTCATCTCACCATGCATTTTATCAGGTGCTGCCTCAGCCGGGGGATAGCCCTTTCCTTTCTCTGTCACTATGTGGATCAGAACCGGTCCTGGTGCAGGCGTTGCCTTCACTCTCTCGAAAATGGTAACTAGATCTTCAACATTATGTCCATCCACTGGACCAATATAATAGATTCCAAGCTCCTCAAAGAGTGTAGACCCAGAAGCACTGATCATTCCCCTAGCGTACTCATCTACTTTTGCTGCAACTTCATGTGCTTGCCCTCCGATTTGCTTTGTGATTGTCTTTGACAGGGAAGAGAAAAAGGGCTAAAATAAGTTGTTGAAATAAGATTCAAGAGATATAGAGTAGAAAGGAATGAGCAATATCAGTAAACGTATAAGGGCTCAGTACTTTTGCAGCTTCTCGAAGTTTTCGGAATTCGGTGCTTGCTTGAATCTTGGACAGAGCACTGCTGAGGGCCCCTACTGGACTTGCAGGCCCATCAAGAGTGGCAGTCGGTAAAGAGACTTGCTTGTTGTCATTCAACACGATAATCATGTTGGTGTCCAAGAACCCTGCATTGTTCATGGCTTCGTACGCCATACCTGCAGTCATGGCTCCATCTCCAATCACAGAAATGACATGGTTCTTCTTCTGCAGTAGATCTCGGGCAACCGCCATGCCTATCAAAACGACAAGATTTAAACACTATTCTCTATCGTTTTGAACATACTTTCTATTTACTGAAGAATATAAAGAAAAAAAAAAAGGGGCAGACATAATACATATAGTGTGAAAACTAAACATACCAAGGCCTGCAGATATGCTAGTAGAACTGTGACCTGCACCAAAAGCATCATGAATGCTCTCCTCTCTTTTCGGAAATCCTGCAAGGCCGGAAGTTTTTCTAATTGTGTGCATTAAAGACCTCCTTCCTGTGAGAATCTTATGGGGGTATGCCTGCAAAAATTTATTGCTTATCAGAACCTATTATTGCTTGTAGCTAGAACAAATTACTTTTTTTTTTTTTTAATTCCCTATTTCAATTATAACAAAGAAATGTCGTTCTGGATCACCTGATGGCCAACATCCCATATGATCTTGTCTTCAGGTGTGTTGAACACATGATGCAGTGCAACTGTTAGCTCCACAACTCCTAAGCTGGAACTGAGATGCCCACCTATCTTTGATACTGTGTGTACTATATCGGCTCTAAGCTCTGCTGCTAGTTGTTCAAGATCCTGGAATTATCATTCAAGTGTTAAAAGTGAACGTTTATGGGCCAAGAGCTTGTTTTGGACAAGGGTAATAACCCATAAAGAAAAAACATAAGCAGTCTGATTGTGAACTTATGCATGGTCTACCTGTGTGGATAGATTCTTCATGTGAACGGGGTAGTTGATAGAATCAAGCAATGGTGTCGCCGGTTTTTCCCCGGAATAATCGATCTTCCATCCGTCCTTTTCTTTTCTGATCAACTTCTTTTCCACACCACCGTCTGATGATGAGCTACCATGGGAAGCTCTCAAATAAAACTGTAAAACACCAACACCAGCATTGCACCATCAAGAATAAACGGTTGTCATAAAAGTGCACTAAAAAATGGAATATAAATGAATAAGATGAAGGTAACGAACATGGTATTAGATATTATGACAGCATAAAGAAGTAGAGCTTATATGGAAAAGAAACAGCCAAAAAAAGGTTGAAATGGACATATAATGATGTATGTTTACCAGTTTTCTTGTACTATAACTTGGTCCTGGATATTTAATCCTTGGACAGAACGATTGTTTTGGTACAATGAAAGACCCAGAAACCGCCATAGCTAATCGAAGACTTGTGTAAAGCCTGTGAGGAGTTTCAAGAGACGAAGACAAGAACCAAATTATATAGCAGACTAGGCACTGAAAAAGAATCCTATATATACGTGGCACATGAATTTAATATATATTATAAGAATAATAACAATATACTTTGTATTTATTTCTCTCTAAAAGAAAAATTGGACTTTCATTTTGAATAGAAACTCATTGAATTATGAGATGTTCATTTGACCTGGTCAGCTTGGAATCGTAACTTGGTTAAGAAAGGTAAACGGTCATAGAGTATTGTTGAAAAATAAAGATCTTAATTATGTGATGTATACTGAAAATCTACTGTTTTTTCAAAAAAGAAAATCTTTTATTTATTTTTTTGCTCAAAATATCTTTTACATTTAATATCCGATGCCAGACGATGATAGTCTATGCAATTTGAAATAATTATGTTAAAAAAAATATTAAAAAGATTATTAGAATTGGTCAAATACGTTTGCGTTAGACAACTTTGTTGTGCCATATGAGTGTTCCTATATGCCCATGGTCACATAATATTCTAGCATTAATATTCTCTTGACTTATTACTTATTCTTTTTTTTTTTAATTTTGTTTGAACAATAATCCGTCCATAGTTGGAATATTATTATGAAATATTTTTTTTAAAAAAATATTATGAAGGAACATTGAAAGGCACCCCAAAAAAAAAAAAAAAAAAAAAAAAAAAAAACAATGCATGGCTATCAGAATTATTGCCAGGACCACATGTAATGCCCATCCCAAGACCCTTGACGATCGGTAAAGAAACGTAAAGAAAATATTTTAGTTTTCGAAAATTAAGAATTGTTTTCTTTTTTCGAAGATCAGAAAATTAAGAATTATTAACAGTGACAAATTAGTAAACAATATATATTTAGTAGCAACTGGATATGTATGCAAATAGATATCCAGTTGTTCTCAAAGGAAAGAAACATAAACGGAAAATGACGAAGAGAGAAGGTCCAAGCATTTGATGCCATTTTCGTTGTTCTCAAAGGAAAGAATCTTGAAGCACATTAGGAAAATTTAGAATGGGATCTTTGATCTGTGCTAAGAGGTCAGATCCAGATGGAATAAGAGATAAATATAATGTATATTCATAATTTATACAGCCCATAGGGATTTGACATTTTTTAAGACTACAAAACGAGAAATCTCAACTCTACTTTTGGTATAGTGTCTGCTAACCATATTTAAAAAATTTATGTACAAAGGGCATCTATTAGCCTATAGGGTTATTAAGTTTATTTTTACAAAATTCTTTTAATTAATTTGAAATTAGACACGAATATTCTGTACGGTTATTGATAGAAATAAATCAAATTTCTATCTAATCTCCTTATCTTTATTATAAGAGATAAGAGACTAGTTTACTTCCATTACGTGAATCCTAAGCTAATTAATAGACCTTGAATAGTGATATTATATAATATATTTCCGTCCAAGAAAAATTATATAATATATAAGAGAAGGATTATACAGAACAGAGACGTTAAAGCTTTTTAAGCGGAGACGTTAAAGTTTTGTGTACAAAGGGTATCAACTAGCCGGCTTTCCTGCCAGATACCAACATGTGCAGGGTTGTCACCTTATGCAACAAATTTTAATTTTAATCTCTCTCTCTATATATACACGTATACGCAAACTTATATACATATATATATATATATGACTATTGAACTTATATAAAAAGTCACATTAGAAATTAAAATATACACATTTTCACAATAAGAAATGTTATTATACTGATTACAAATTATAACCATTAAAATCTCATTCATATATTTATAAAATCCTTCGTATATATAATAGTGATAGTCTAATAAGGTGGGCCGAAAAAACAGTAACGAATATATTTGTGCATATATGAATATATATATATATATATATAAAATTAAGCGTATATAGTGTGTGTCTTTTTATATATTATATAGATATAGATAATATACTGTGTGTTTCGTGGTTGACAATATAGACCACGAGATAGAAGGGTAGATGAGTATATATATGTATGGGGGTAGATGGGTAGATGGGCTTGAAAATTGAAATGTAACATAGACTTCTACGACGTAATTTCATGCTAATCTCGGGAGAAGTCCAAATTTATGGTCGTTGTTTATAACATGCCTAATAATATATATATATATATATATATATATATATCAAATTATCAGCTTTGTGGCGCTGACTTTTTTTTTCTTTTTGTCCTAACAAAGATAGCTGACAGTCTACTGGTAAAAATCATATATCCTCATCATTGTATTGAGATTTTTAAGTCATATATTCAGATGAGCTGGCATTTCTAAATTCAAATAGGGGTGTTAGGAAATTTTATTTCTTGGGCAACATATTAATTAATAATTATATTATCGTTATTTAAATTAATTAAATAAATTAAGTAGTGAATTTTAAAAAATCCAATAAGTTTTATAATTGGATATAGATTAAATGGATGGATACTAAATACTGACTCAATTAAGTTTAATGAGTGTCTAATAAGATAATATATTAAGGAACTTATGGTTATAGTCTCTAATACGTCAAATTATATGATAAATTTTCACTCTTCCCCATCAAGAGAGAAAACACTCATTTAGAAATCTAGTGATTTGATTGAAAAAGGCGATAACTCCAAGAACATGTTGTTAAAGAGATTTTCTGCTGGAAATTAAGGCTGCACCAATAGAAATAAGTATTTATTTTAACATATTTTCTTAATAATTTAATGTGACGACTCTGGTACGTGGGTTTAAGGATTAAGGTCAACATAGGGGACTAGTTTACGTACATAAAACTTAACCTTTTTTTTTTAATTCTTCTTCGTATCAAATAATCATTTTGTTTAATTGAATTTGAAAGATCAGTCTGTTTCTGGATCCTTCTGCTTCCTACTTAATTACCATATGAAACAACATCAAACATGCCATATCAAAAATTATAAATTTAAGATGAAAAGAGAAAACATATAAATATATGTGCGTGTGTATAAATATACATATATATATATATATATATATTATTGTGTCGCTTCTGCTAAACCTACTGTTTACATATTCTTAATTATCCATATATCCAAATAAAATAAATGTATTACCGTAGTCAGGCTCACAGCAACCACCACTAATACTTCTCAAGGTATGTTTGGTGATCCCGATATGGATTGTTCCATATATGAATTATGGTATCATGGGTTGGGTATGTGATGCCACAATTCACATGGATCAGCGGTTTGGGTTTCTCTCTGTGTGAATTGAGGTTTTGTTGTTACTTATCATTATTATTCCCTAATAAGAATGCTATTAAGCTACACACGCGCGATAAAAGGAGTGCAATATTGCACTGTTGCATCTTAATTCTATTTTTTTTATTTTTTGCTTAGTACACCTCAAATTTTTAATTATAAAAAATTACACTCTAAACTTAAATTAGTAGCAATTTACAATAGTTAGCCGGCGCTATTAAATTGACGATTCAAGACACAAGTTTTACGCGTGACTGATTTGAAAAATGACGAGTTCTACCTTTTATGTGCGAATCATCTATTTTAAACTGTCAATTAGGTCAATTAGATAACCATGACTAGTTATTAAATTTCAATTGCTACTAATTTGAAAGCTTAGTATATAATTTGTCAAAATTAAAAGTAGGTGTATTATGAAAAAGAAAATATAAAATTTATGGTGCAACTGTGCAATTTACTCCAATTAGTGCTGAAACTTTGGACATGCCACCTGTGACCACCGAAAATTTTAAATTTTTACCTTATGACCGTGCTTGCCCGAGCCCGAATTTTTGAGCTACCCAACCCGAGCAAGACGCTGGACGGGCTTCAGGCAAGTTTTGGCTGCCCGAGCCCAGTCGAGCAGCCCGAGACCGCCCGAGGTGCCCGAAGTATTTTTTAATATTTTTTATATATTTATATACTATTATATATAATTTTATTTATTAATTGTATATGGTATGTATATAAATAATTTTTAAGTTATTTATTTATTAATTTTTAAATTTTTAATTCATGATTGTCTCGTTAAAAACCTTACCAAGAAAAACCTAATTGGGATAAAAACTTGGTAAAGAAAAAAATAGTGCAATCATTCTCGGACTAATTACAAATTTGACGAACTTACAAAGTTTATACAAGATTACAATAACATTGTACAAAGTAAATAAATATTTACAAATTACAATAATAGAATTTAATTTGAAGCTGAAGGATCGTCTTCAAAATTAAAAGTTAATCTATTAAATTCATCGATCCATTATTGACTTGCCGGTGAAATTGTATCGTGTAAGTGTTGGTCGGAATGATCCCGATCCTTAATGCACACCAACGCTTCAACAAAGTCCTATTGCAATGTGTTTCTACGTTCCTCAAGTATTCGGTCAGTCGTACTGAAGGCTTATTCGGATGAAATAGTGGAGACTGGGATCGAAAAAATATCCATTGCCAGTCGAGTTAGGATCGGCCAAGTTAATGCTCGTGCCCTCCACCACTAAACCAAATCAAACATTTCACTATTGTCGACTACTAAGCCCTCACTCAGGTACGCCATTAACTCGTTGAAGCCACCACTGTTGCCACCACCTCTTAATGAAGATCCACTCCCAGATTCTTCTTGACCTTGAGTCGTCGTCTTCTTCTTCTTCTTCAACCCGAAAACATTCAAGAATGAATGCAGATTGTCATCTTGTTGTTGTGGTTGTTCTACATGAGGTGTGTTTCTAAACCTACTTTCATAAGAGCTATAGAGAGATAATATTTTTCCCTTTATAATAGAAAATTGGTCAGAACAGTCGATATCTAAAATGTCACCTAAGTTTTCTAATCCAATTTCTAAACCTTCTAATTTTAATATAGGATAAAAAATAACACTGAAACCATACAATTTTGGTAATTTAGCCCAATATTTTTTAAACTTCTTTTCCATAGAAGCGATAGGAACTCCTAAAACCTCGTGTGTCCTAAATTCACTAAATAAAATAGCCATTCTTAAAAGTTCTCATAACACTAATGGT